ATTTTTTAATTTAAGTCAAAGTCAACAATTATTTTTAATCCCATATTTTATGAGTCTCACAACTTTTCAACCATATATTTCATCAAATTCTATCCAAATCTATTTAAAAACTAATTTTAATCCCTATCCGAGACGATTCTAATTGTTGGATCAGTGTCCAGATCCTCATCAAACGTTAAAGTCCATTAGCCCATATAAATCATGATTACATAATTCAAAATTCACAAAGTTATAAGCATTGGATGTTAAATGGGTCGAGTCAAGTCACTTGACTAGTTCATCGTCGATCTCAACCTGATCCATCAAATGATCTGAGCACGAGCTTGTACGTGGAACCACTACAGGAAAAATGACATTTAACAACTAATGTTTTAACTACCAAATCAATCTAATCGTTAATAAATATTTTCAACGACGAAATTATAAGCTTGGTCGTAAAAAATGGATGACAAACAATCAAATTTTGAATTAGTTGGAAATATCATATAACGACCAAAAATATAGTTGTTATTTCTATATTTTCTACGACCAAATTAAAATTAGTCATTGTAAGTCGGCGCAAAATCAAAAATTTCCACCAAAATATTTGTTGGGGTACTTACAAAAGTACCCTATATTTTTGGGTTGTTTTGAAAAAATCATTATAAACTTGGATTAAATGGCAATTACCTTAAATTGAACGTAAAATATACGTTCAAAACCTAAACTCACGTCAATCCTCATAAATCAGCCTCCAGTGTGCAAAAATCGAAGGAAAATTGAAAGGAAAAAGAGGAAATCTTCCACAAATACATAAACAAAGTTTGTTCATTCTTCAAATCGAGGAAACCATCCACAAAAACATTGAAAAATCTGGAAAAAAAAAGTCGAGCAGATCAGCAACGAAAACACAAAAAAAATTACAGGTATTTCTATGTTTTGGATTCCATGATTATAACTCATTATCCATCTCGTTTTTGTTTGAATTAACATTTATGAAAATAAAATTGTTGAAGTTGAGTGGATTGTTGAAGTTGAGTGGATTGTGTATGAAAAATTAGTTTTGAATTAATTACATTGATGCTTGCAAAGTGTTTGGCAAAAAGATAATATGAAAAAGTGGCATTCTATCACTTTTTTCAAAAAAAAGTCACAGTATTTCTTTTAAGCAATTAGCTAGGTATGCACGTGTGAGTTTTTGGAAATTTGAACGTACATATTCAAGCCCTATTTTCTGGTAATTAACACATGAGAAAGAAAACTTTAAACCAATT